GGAATGGGGAGGGGGAAAATAGAGGGAATGGGGAGGGGGAAAATAGAGGGAATGGGGAGGGGAGAGCAAGGGGAACGGTGGACCAGGGAGGCGGAGGGAGAAAAAGAGAAAGTGGGGGAGGAGAGAAAGAGAAAGTGGGGGAAGACAGAAAGAATTGGCGTCGGAAGCCGGAGGAAATTGGGGAGAGAGAAACAAAAAAAGACAGAAAAATGGGAGTAAAAAGGGACCCGGGTGGAAAGCGAAAAAGCCGAGAGGGCCCTGGAGGGAGGGAAACTGAGCTCAGATTGCGGGTTATTTTTATCCCTTTACAGCAAACACAAAAGGAATAATCTCTAGGGAACACACCCAGGCAACAGGGGACTCACCTGGGAACACACAGTTCCAAATGTTTGAGCACTGTTTTCTTTCTTCGGAAATAATTGGCAAAGTTTCCCTAAGTTGCTAGAGAGGGCAGGAAAGAGAAGTTGCAAACTCCCGCAGCTCCGCTCCAAACTTCTAAAACTTTCAGCTTGGTCTTACAATGAAACTGACAGAGAGTGAGGGAAAAGGCAGCCGGCTCTCTTCCGGGTTCTGGTTTTAAAGGGATCTGGAAACTGTTTAATGTCGACAGACTGTAAACAAATCCCATACAGTACCAAAGTAGTTATGCGTCTGGCGTGGAAACTGAAGTCCCAATCCCACCGTGGAATTAATAAAACAAAAGAACTGTGGATACTGAAGATCTGAAACACATTGCAGAAATTGCTGGAGAAACTCAGCAGGTCTGGCAGCGCAGAGAAAGCAAAGTTACCATTTCGAGTCCAGTGACCCTTCATCACAACCATCGTGGAAGTGAAATTGTTGCCGGGAACACAGGAACAAGAGTAGGCCATTCAGCCCCTCGAGCCTGTTCTACCACGCAGTGAGATCATGGCTGATCTGTGCCCTAACTCCAATTAGCTACCTAATCACGTTAGCTGATCAAAAAAAAAATCAATCTCCAATTTAAAACTAACAACTGATCCAGCATCCGCTGCCATTTGTGGAAGAGAATTCCAGACCTCTCCCACCCTTTCTGTGTAGAAATGTTTCCTAACATCTCTCCTGAACGGTCTGACCTTAATTCTCAGACTGTGCCCTTAGAATCCCCAACCAGTGGAAATAGTTTATCTTCATCTATCCTGTCTTTTCCGGTTAATATCTTGAAGAGCTTGATCAGGTCACCCCTTAACTTTTTAAATTTCCAGAGAAATCAGGCCTAATTTGCAAAATCAAGTAGGGCAGGGTTTAAGTCCCACCTGCTCCAGAGGTGTGTAATAATATTGGGGGAAGCACAGTGGCTCGGTGGTTAGCACTGCTGCCTCACAGCACCAAGGACCTGGGTTTGATTCCACCCTCGGGTGACTGTCTGTGTGGAATTTACACATTCTCCCCGTGTCTGCTTGGGTTTCCTCCAGTTTCCTCCCACAGTCCAAAGATGTGCAGGCTAGGTGGATTGGCCATGGGAAATTGCCCCATAGTATCCAGGGATGTGTAGATTAGGTGAGTTATAGGGGGATAGGTCTGGGTGGGATGCTCTGAGGATCAGTGTGGACTTGTTGGGCCGAAGGGCCTGTTTCCACACTGTAGGGATTCTATGATCTATGATAATCCTTGAGGTTCATGCATCATTCTTGTAAACTTAAATTGGCTACTCACTCCAATCTATCCTTCCTGTGCTGTGATGCTCAGATCTGCTCACTGTACTCTAAGTAGGGTCTAACTAGGGGTTTGTATAGTTGCAGCATAATGTCTGTGTTCTTGTACTCCAGTCCTCTGGATATAAAAGCCAGAATTCCTTTTGCTTTCTTGATGATTTTCTGCAGCTGTTCCTGGTATTTGAAAGGTCTATGCACCTAGAGACCCTTTTGGATATCCATTGTATTTGACTTCATACCTCTTTCATCCCCTACCCACCTCCCTTTATCTATAACCACCTTCAGCCCCTGCACACCTCCCTATCTCAGTAACCTCCTCTAGGCTGTACAGGCCTCCCTATCTCTGTAACCTCCTACAGCCACTACATGCCTCCCTATCTCTGTAACCTCCTCCAGCACCTGTAACACTCTATATCTCTGTAACCTCCTCTAACCCCTATAACCTTCTATATGTCTTTAAACTCCTCAAGCTCCTATAACTGACTATATCGCTGTAACCTTTTCCAACCCCTATAACCCTCCCATTCGCTGTCACCTTCTCCAGCCCCTGTAACCCTTTATATCTCTGTAAACTCTTCCAGTCCCTCAACACCTCCCTATCTCTGTGACTTCCTCCAGGCCCTATAACCCTCTAGATTTCTGTAACCTCCTCCAGCCCCTATAATGCTCTATATCGCTGTAACCTCCCCCAGCCCCTATAACCCTCTATATCACTGAAACCTCCTCCAGCCCCTATAATGCCCTATATTGCTGTAACCACCTTCAGCCCCTATAACCCTCTATATCACTGTACCCTCCTTCTATCCCTACAACTGTTGAGATCTTTGTACTTCTCTAATTCTGGCTTCTTCTATGTTCCGGGTTTTTCCCTTCCCTGTTAGTGGTGGTGCCTTCAGCTGCCTTAAGGTATTGTGAGTCTGGATTAGGGAAATCCAGAGGCAGAGATTGATTATTTTTAATGTCAAAGATATACATTGTTTGTTAAAACGATATCCCATATACACCTAGTCACAAATGCAGTTCAGTTCTGTGCAGTAGCATATCAGGAAAACAAACAAGCTCTATCCACACAAACCGAAGGCATCTCTTACTTGAACCAGACTTTATTTGCATGCATTTGAGGCACCAGGAGGATCCAATAACTGAATGGACTCCATTTAACTTTGGCCAAAGAGACCTTAGATATTGGCCCTTCCCCACTGCACCATGGTAGCAGCTGCTCCAAGCTTTAGTGCACCCCTCAGCACGGAGTCCCGGACCTCGAAATATGTCAGTCTGCAACACTCAGGGTCGGGGTCAACTCCTTGTTCTGGAAGATAACAAGGGCAGACCTAAGAGTGTCTTTCACTGAGTTGATGACCTTCTAGGTGCAGTTGCTGTTTGTTTCGGTACCACAGATTGATGAGCTGGGGACGCAGGTTCATAATCCTACCCAGGCAGCTGTTGCAATTTGAGGAAAGTTAATGGATCTCCTTGTAAAAGCCAGTCTCAGTAACAGGGACTGGATAATGTTTGCAGCAAAGACCCATGTATATTCAGGGAAGGAAATCTGCTGTCCTTACATGGTCTGGCCTCTTTATGCCCATAGAGTCCTTAGCTCTTAATTGCCCTCTGAAATGGCCAAGTGGGCTATCAGGGATGTGCACCAATTGCTGAACTTGCCAGCAATGCTCACATCCAGTGGAACCATTTATAAAATCCTAGGTTTTAAATTCCCTCTCTACGCCTCTCTCTCCTCCTTTAAGACTCACCTCTTTGACCAGGATTTTAGTCAACAATCATCTAATATCACCCAATGTGACTCAATGTCAAATTCTGTTTGGTTATTAATCTTGGGAAACACCTTGGGACATCTTACTCCATTAAAGGTGCTATGTAAATGCAAGTTGGTGTTTGATGTTTGTCAAAAAACAGAGGGCAGGGTTGACTTCAAATGTCTCTCATGAAGTAAACCCACTCAGTCTCTTCTTTGTTTCAATCTTCAATATTTTACATTTGGCACAAACATAGGAAACCTTTGTTGGCTGTGCTGAGTGATGGAGAGGAACTCCTGATCTACCCACTAGTATTAGAAATTCCTTAGACTGCACCTTCCAAACCCACGACCACTGCCATCTAGAAGGACAAGGGCAGCAGATACATGGGAACACCACCTGCAAGTTCCCCTCCAAGCC